GTTCTTGCTATTGTAAGCCTCCGCTTTATTTCGTCTGAGCAGCTCCCATTGTTTGAAATTACGGAACCCAAATAGTTAAACAAGGTAAATTAATAAGGTTCAATTACGTGCCTGAAATTTGGAAAGTTGCAGAGATAATCACGCTGCACAAGCCTGGCAAACCTATAGACAGGGCGACTTCTTATAGACCAATCTCATTGTTGCCAATGATTTCAAAACTACTAAAGAAACTTTTATTGAGAAGACTCCAGCCTATAATTGAAAGTAAAAGGTTAATCCCGAATCATTAATTTGGTTTTCGCCGGAACCATTCAACCACAGATCAGACTCATAGAATAACTGACCTAATAGAAAATTCACTGGAAGAAAAAGCAGTATGTTCTATCATATTTTTGGACGTAGCCCAGCCCTTTGATAAGGTTTGGCATTGTGGATTAATAAAAAAACTTAGGCGATTACTACCAAGGCAGTATGTTGACCTGCTCGAATCTTACCTGACTAATAGGGTATTTCGAGTTAAACAGGAAGAGGAGTACTCTTCCCTTAGGGATATTAAGTCGGGGGTACCACAGGGGAGTATATTGGAGCCGATATTATACTTGCTACACACGTGTGATACTCCTGAAATTGAAAAGTGCCAGTGATGAGATCTCAAAATGCCGTTGGACGCGAAGCTCAGATGGAAGGAGCACATAAAGAAAAAGAGATCTCAACTAGAGGAGGAATACAGAAAGTTTGAATGACTTTTGGGGAGGCGTTCTAAATTGACAATATACAACAAAGTTTTGATATATAATCAAATATTTAAACCTGTCTGGGCTTACGGTATTCAGTTATGGGGCTGCGCTGCGCAGACTCATATCCAATCTATACAAAGATTTCAAAATAGAGTATTTTGATAGAGGACATTGTAAACGCCCCTTGGTATATCCGTAATGCTAGGGATCTCATGATCCTAAGTGTCACAGACGAAATTAAAAAGCAAGCAGCCAATCATAAAATGCGTTTATCCAATCATGTCAACATCGAGGCGGCTCGATTGGTTGACAATCAAAACTTTGTTAGGAGACTTAAACGTACGAGACCTCTCGAGTTAGTTTGAGGCTTTTTATCTGGAACAATGAGTACTTAGTACGCTATTGTGCCAGATCAAAAGCTTGTAAATAATCAAAAAAGTTAGAGCAAAATTAATGGTTAGTCGTTTCCGACTAGTTTTATAATTTATTTTGAGGAGGGTGTTTTTTAGTGGATTAAAGTTCCACACTACTGCTTTTCGTCTGGCAGTGTCTTTCGAGATTTTTCACCCTTCCTCTCGGTAAAAAAAAAAAAAAAAAAAAAAAAAAAAAAATTCTTCAACATCAAATCCAACTGCCAATATTGCCGCATTGTCGGCAAATGTAGCCATCCTCTAAATCTGGAAAATTCCTTGTATAAAGCAGGTGTGATATAACACTCAGAATGCTGCCTTGAGGTACATCAGGCCTAATTTCCCTAAGCGAAGAGTGCTCCCCGTCCTGTTTGACTCGAAAAAGCCTGTCAGATAAATATGATTCAAGTAATTTCACAAATTGTAAAGGTATCAATTTTTTAAGTAATGATGAACCGTCGTGCCAAACCTTATCGAACGCTCAGACCACGTCCAGAAATATTGTCGAACATGTTTGATCTTTTTCTAACGCGTTTTCCAAATTATTTGCTATTCTGTGTACTTGGTCAATTGTTGCATGTTTCGTTCTAAAACCAAATTGGTGTCTATATAAATTTCTTATTTTCTACTATCGGCATAAGTCTGGTTAACAACAATCTTTAAAAAAGTTTTGATATCATGATTATAGCAATAAAATCAGTTTATATGACTTTCATTCAAGGGTTTCCTCGGTTTTCTTTTGTCACTTTTTTCAAAAATGTCAATACTCTTTCTCCGTAATTCTTTCAACACCTAGCAGTAATGAGGCCAACACTTAGGACCTTATTCGATTTAAACGATTTTATTACTTGGAAAATTAGAGTCATATTGCTTTCATCCATAACAAAATCTTCTACTGAACAAACGCTGGAATTCAGTTCATTTGGTTGAAAAATTTCTTTTAAGCAATCAGCAAATATTTTAGCTTTAACTCTATTGATTTTTGCCAATGATTAATTTGTTTTCTTCAGTGGGGAATTCGCTTTATCGGTTTCTTAGTACTTTTCTCTACAACCAATAATCCGTTTCTTTAGCTGCTGATAAGCGCTTTATTTTTCTTTTGAGAGTTCAAGAAAGTTTATTTACAATAGTTTTTTCTTCTGGGTGACGCGACTCTTGCCCTTTACATTTAGTCCTTCTTTTTTGTACTATTAAATCAGCTATAGCCTTGGGATAACTACTTGATACAGACTTGAGTTTGGAAAATCTTGTATTTTTCCAAGTTTGAATTCGGAGAATCTTGTATGCTTCCAGGTTTCAATAAAACCTTCCACTTCAGAATCTAGTTAATTTCTAGTAGTTTTGTTGACTAAAGTGCTATTTTCACATTAAGGGCGAATATGACAGCAGACTGATCAAAATTCAAATTAAAATCGTCTTCCAAATTCAAAAAGTTTGCCGCAATGCTTTCAGATATAAAAAGCTCAGTAAGATCCCGGACTTTGTTGACATCAATGGGCCAATAAGTCGTACAAGTCGTATAAGTCTTAGTAGGATGATAGAAACATTTCAGCTCCCGAAAAGCCGATCTAAGCCTAAATACACATGTTTGGCAAAATAGTCAGTGGTTTTTCAGATTGTAAATTTGCATTGCTTGAACAATTTTTATGAAAATTTCTACTTGGAAAATTTTTAGCTCTTTGTGTATTTTCGCTGTTGAAGTTGGTTTACTTACTCCAAAATGATTTTTAATTGCACAATCCCATATTTTTTGTAACCTGTTGATATTCTTTGAAAATGTATATCTCCATACATTGATATCGTAAATAATTGTGGAGTCAACAGACTATAATACATTGAACTTTTTACCTAATTTGATACCTTTTTCTGTGCTACTTTATGGACTTCTGCGATTCTTCTACCCTTTTTAATTTGCATCATTGATTGTTGTTTCCATTTTGACTCTAAGTCAAAAATGAATTCTAAATACTTAAAATTTTTTTGTTTCTTCAATTTCAACACCGTTAAACATAAGCTTGAGATTTGGTACAAAAGATTTTTTATATTCATATATTTAGTTTTCTTCTTGTTAATATTTGTTTGTAGTGCAGTATGAGTATCTTCGGCAAAAACGGTAACAAGATCATCCACATACAAAAAAGGCGCTTCGTGCGAACATGTTTTGGAGAAACTGCTTATGTAGCAGGAGGAAAGCGTCGGACGTAAAGAGCTACCCTGTGTTACTCCATATTTTACCTTTCTTAGTTTTCTTCTGACATTTTCGCATTCGGTATATTGTTTCCTATTACTCAGATAGCTTTTAAACCAATTATATGCATAACCCGTTATGGCACATTCATACAGAATTCGTAATAATATACTTCATATAACATAATGCAGTACCGAACGTCTTGGTAATATCAAAAATACTATGGTAACTTTTTTTTACCCAAACACTTGTATATGCGAAATTAAATCATACAGAGTAGCACCCGTACTAGAATTCTTTCTAAAACCATATTGCCTGTGGTCAATAAGATTCTGTTGCGTTAAATAATCGGTTAAAAGTTTATTAACTCATATTTCTAACAATTTACCATTAACAATTGAAGCGATTGATATAAGTAGGTCTAAAATTAGTTATATCATTTTTAAACCATTATTTTTGTAAATCATTCCGATTTGAGTTCCTATGTTACTTCTGCCAAATTTATTGAAACATTAATTATAACTTTGATATTTTCAGTACTTCATCTTCACAAGATTTATTATGTATGAATTTTTTAGTTTGATATAGATCAATATTTTTTAATTTAAATTCGGAATAAATTCTTTTCTTATGTGCATGTGTAAATTTAATTATAATTCTGCGCTAACACTTTTTGCCAATGCCAATTGCAAATAATGCCAATATTTGCATAATAATCATTAAATTCATTAAGCTTGGTTAATTTATCAGCATATCGAGTTTTACCTTTTGGTTTTGGCTTTCGTTATTACAATTTAAAAATTCTTAATATAATTCCAAGTTTTTTTTTTAATTTCCTGCATTTTGAAATTTTAATTTATCATAATTTTTTTTTTTCTTTTTTTATTGCTGTATATTTATTTCTTAAATAAAATAACCTTACCTCCTCCTAAATGATTACCACGCGAAGTTGTCGCATAGCATCTATAACCCAGCACATCCAAATCCTTCTTCAAGTGTGTTTCTGACAACAGACATACATTGATATTTTTAGCTCGTAAGACAAACTTCCAATTCGTATTTTCTACGTTTATTTGCTGCTATTTTTGAAAAATCTTTTCGGGGTTACTAGATATACGTTAGCATATCTATTCTGCATAGTAGTTAATCTCATTGAGATTAACTACTACACATTTTTTAATTCTTTGTAACGTGTCTTACACCATTCGCATTATGCTACCATGAATTTCTTCATGTTTTTAAAACATGCAAAAATAACCCTTGCAAAATTTTTCTAAGGAGAAAGCAATTTACAAAGCAAGAAAACTTTTCAATTGATTAATAATTCTTGCCACTAAATTTCCTCAGATGCAAATCAATATTAGCTACACATATATGTATGTATAGCGAACACTATATTTTATATGAGTAAATACCTATACATAATCTAATCCATGTTATTCATGTTCAATATGCCAGTTATTGCATTTTTCTGTTATATAATTTTTCACTCCAATTTGTATTGTTTTCTCTTAACAAATGCGTAATGTGAATTTGTAGAATTATGTAGAGTACATACGAAAAAGGAGAATGAATTACTGATCAATAATTATAAATAATAATAAGCATTAACAGAAAATCTTAACAAAATAGGTATGTAAAATACTTCAAAAATTCAAATTTACTTTCTTAGAAAATAATACTTAATAAAAGTACTATGTATATTTTATTTACTTTAAAAAAATTGCAAATTTTGATGATGATTATTCGATGAAAGTTATATCGGTTTAATTTTAAAATGAAGACCAATCAGTGAAAAAACTAAGCATTTCAAATCTTGTACTAAATAATAAAAGCAGCGTAAACCTTCAGGATCCTTTGAACGATTAACGTCAACTAACGAGCCAGTTTTTGATGTGGTGAATGAAATATGTTCGTCACCTATAACTATTTCAAGTTCCTGTAAATAAACAAAATTCACATTTTATTCTAGCTCATACAACTATTGAAATTTTTACTTGTCTGCCGACTCTATCAGGTGGTGGCCAAGGAGTATCATCTTCTTGCATTATTTCAGAATCGATTATTATTCTTTTCAATTCTTCCATTACAGTTTGATGCACATATGCTTCTTTGCGAATCATTGTATCGTTCTTGTAATTGGAATTATTAGCATACCTCAATTTACCATCCGGCCGGAACTCAAATTCCAAAAATTCATGTCCAAATTTTCCTTTATGTCCAACGTAATACCGTAAATAAAATTCTTCAGACATCACAGTTTTTGAAACGCAACTTTAATTATTCAAAATAATTATTTAATGAATTAATATATACGTATAGTAAAATTGGTATTCAACTTTCTCCTCAAATTTGTATATTTTAATTTTTTTGCTTTAAAGTATTGCGGCAAAATTGACAGCTGAGAATATAGAATACTCAAATACTGAATGTGAGGAATTGCCAATACTTCTTATATTAATATGTATTATACTTATATCCAAATCAAATTTCCGTAATGGGTACGTAACGAATTTAACAAAACCTGTTTATATTCGTCTAACTATATAACAGAATATCCATCACTTTGTTTATCTTATGTGATGTTACGATTATTATCCTTGATGTCTTATTAAAATCAATATACAATATATACATGTATGTATGTATAAAATATAATGTATGTATGTATAAAATATAATGTATGTATGGAATCCATATATATGTATGTATATATGACAGCAAAAAAGACCTTAACTAATGTCTTTATATCTAACAAGTCCCAATGCTCAGAGAGAAACTTGAAAGCACGACCTTATTTTATATGGGTTTTTTGAATCGAAGTGGCTATGTTTTGAGATGAAATATTAAAATAAATTTACACTTATTATAAAGCAGGTGAAATTCTAAAAATATATTTGAAAAATCAAGAAAATATATTAATATTTTCATTCAGAATTATTTTAAAATTCTTGAAACAGCGGAAGAAAAACAAGCACAACCTTCACCTTCAACATTTTATATGTTACTGAAAGCATTTCATTATTTTTAAGTGAACAGCTTTTTTTCTCATAAGGTAAGTTAACTCAAGATATGGGAAGTAACTGTGGTGTCAAGTTGAAAATATAATTAATGAAAGATAATTATTAAATATTGATATAAATACGTAGTAAAGAAAAAATTTTAAGAGGGAATTAGAAAATAATATCTAAAAAACAATCAAATACTATTTTTTAAATACAAATTTTATATACACTTCTAAATTTTGCCTCTATTTGTGAGAAAAATTTTTAAAACTTAATATAATTACCGAAGTAAAAAAATATTTGAAAGGTTTTGGAAAAGACAATTATATATTATATGACCCGATTCGAATATATTTTTTATTTTTGAAATAAATAGTATCTTAGAAGTAGCAAATGACTCAAAAACTCCGATTGTACTGATGTAAATTTTTGTCCGTGTGCGTTTACTATTAAAACTAATACACAGGCAGGGCCATTTTATAAATAAATTGCTCTTGTTTACCTGCTAATACAATATGAAAGAAGTGCACGTAGGTACATACATATTTATTTTTAATAACTTAAAAACTAACTGAAATTATTTGAAACAATTTTATAAGTAACGTATAAATAACCGAAATGAGATAATTCAATTTGTTGAAATGTGTCAACCTATATTACTCTTATTAACATTTTTGTTAGCCGACACTACTCAACTTACCTTATTGGGAACTACAAAATGTGCATGAAAAATCATACATTCTTCCTCATTAACATTTGAAATCATACTGAAATATGAATTTCAAATTTTTTTTCATTTTATCTTTCCTCCTACCTTTCTTTCTTTTTCGTGCAACAGAATTTTAATGGGAAGCTTTTTAAAAAACATGTATAATATCCTGAGATTTTTTAAAATATTAAACTCTTTTTTACGTAAAAAAAAGAAAAAAATAATAAGAAATATGACACGATCAGTAGCATTTAAAGAAAAAAACAGGAACGAAGCCAATTCGTAATATTTCGTAAAAAAAATTGAGTATTGGGACTTGCTAGATATAAGGACATTACCTTAACCCTAAGAGAGAGTGACACTTCACAGCTGAACTTTTTAACATCACAAGTCTCCCACAAGATCAAGTTTTTTCAAATTTTTTTTTTACTCTATCTTGTTTTACTTTACAAGTGCTTACATTCTTAAATTTTTGTGTTATAAAAACATTAAAAAATTAGTTTTAAAAAAATCTTCCAGGTTCTGCTCATTTTTTTAAGATTTCAGTAAATGCTTCCCTATAAAACAAAAATCGTGCACATTTCTTTTTCGAATTATATATTGAATTGATTTTTGTGTATTTTTTAAAATTTGAGAAAAATCTACCACTAATTCATACTTCTTGTATCTGTATATTTTTGTATATCTGTATATTAATTATGCAACCCTATTCCTCCTTTCTTATCCATGACAATAAAAAAAAAACAACCTTTTAAAGCCTTTCCTAAGAAAATATCGGTCGTTGAATTTGTATATTGTATTACAAAATAAAAATATTTTGATTAAAAAAAATTAATATTAAATAAAGTAATATTAACATTAATTTAAAATTCGCTTATTTTGAATTATACTATTAAATGAATATCTAGGATAAAATTTAAAAAAACTTTAAAAAAGAAAACAATGACATAGTTTTTATATAGGTCATTTGTTGAATACATAAAAAAAAATTTAAATTTCAAAAACAAAGTAAACCAGAAGGTTAAAAATTTTATAAAATATGTACGTCAAGCTTATTTGCAAACATAGACATATAAAAGAAGAACATATCTTGCCAAAGCTAAAAGTTTTTAAAGCATTAAATGTTACCTTACAAAACTTGAGAAAACTTTAAATATTGTGAAAATGATAACGTCATCATTTTCAGTAATTTTTGTTCAAAGAGTTATATACCAAACTTAAATTTATACCTGTTATCTGTAATTTATAATTAACATTGAGAAAAAAAGAAATTTTGAATTTTTTTATTATTTCATTTATATATTTTTTATTATTTCTCTTTTATACGTATCAAATATACATATACATCACAATATGAAAGAAAAAACTGTATACATACTGTATAAAAAACTGTATTTGATATTTACTCTTTATCACAATATGCCATTTTTTCTCTTTCTTTTTCTTATGTTTTATTTGGATTATTTTTTTTTTATTCCATTTTCTAATTTAATAACAAGAAAGAGGAAAAAATGAAAGGAGTTGGATATTAAGGACTTATTTTGTTAAAAGGTCATGAGTTTTGTTTTATTTTTTGTATGAAAATGGCCTTATTTTTGAAAGAGATCGTTACGTTTGGAACGTACACATTAGTGCCGTGAGAGGCATTTCTCCAATGCAAATTGTACATTTTTGTGCATTCTGGTTGTGCCGCACCCGTACGAACTGTATGCGACTCGTTTTTATATTATCAGTTTAAGTTAGTTGGTATCACTTATTTATATTCACTTTATATGTACTTTGCTATTGTGAACTATATGACAGCTAAATTTTGTTATTTAGTTTAATTTTGTATTCAGAAGAATAAAGTTTACTTTCAACTTAAGAAATACACTAAGTGCTCGAGATACGACATTTTTGGTTCTAAAAATTTATGTCATTTGAGGAAGAAAAAAATGTTTGGAAATAAAAAGTGAATTAAACAAACTAATTTATAATATAACTGACCTGTTTCTGAAAAAAAGGTTACAAAGTTTAAAAAAAAACAACAAAATATAATAACGAAAGCAAAAAAAAAACTCAATTTTGTGACAAAAATAAATAAGACAAAATCTGATTAAGTTGATGTTGATGCATTTTTAACTAGAAAAAGCTTATTATTGAAATAATGTGCTTTAGTCTTGTCTTTAACTAAATTTGGCATAGAGTTTTTTTCAAAAAACAGTAAAATCTGTCAAAAAAAATTTTTTTTTAATGTCGCAAGCCGAATAAAAATGATTTAAATTTATATCATGTAACTCGAAATGTCATATCTCGAGGACTTAGTGTATAACAGTTTAAATAACAGGAATACATAAAGGTTAACCTCAACAGGTTATGGACCCAGGTTTCCAAAAAAAATTAAAGTGAAATAAAAAAAAAGAGGTTTAATAAGGAAATAAAGAAAAAGGTTCACGAGGAAAATAATTTAATAAAAAACAAAATGGGGGGTTCAAGGGAAGGTTTCAAAATTATTAATTTGGATGAAAGGAATTTCAACATGTGGTGGTTTCAGATAATGGTATTATTAAAGGGTGAAGAAATTTATGTGGAGAAAAAGGAATTTGACCAGGATTTGTCTACACAAGAAAAAATTAATAAATACAATCAAGATTTTTTTTTTTTTTTTCTTTCGTATATTATAAAACTGAAACTGGTCTTTACAGACCAACCATCAATATAATTCTAAAAATCCTAAATCTAGATTCGCCTAAACTTTTGGTCTCCCAGTGGATCCCCAAAATCAAATCTGTTGGGTAGGTATTGTTGTAGGTAATCGCTCATAATTTGATGTCTGCTAGATTAACTGCTGACCAGGTTTCATAGCCCTTGAATTTCTGGATGTTATCAGTTGTCCAGTGAGTTTCTGATAGCAAGCAGATATCAATGTTTTGTGTATTTAAAAATAATTCCAATTCGTGACATTTTTCCTTAATTCCGTTTGCGTTCCAGGTAGCTATTCTGACGTCCCTGCTGGTCATAAGGCTGGTTGGCGGGATAATAACTTTGTCGGATTTGCTTCGATGGCACCAAGCCTAATTGATAAATTATTTATCATGCTCACGAGATTATTGAACATGGCAGGAATGTTCATGTCATGATTCTGGCTTGTTTGACTATGTGATGCAACATCGGCGAAAGATTTTTTCCGTGACACTTTCTCTGTTGTGTACGATCTAGGCTGGTTGTAATGCTCTGTTGTGTACGATCTAGGCTGATTAATTTTATCTCTATTGTATATTTTATTTAGCCTCCTTTTTTGAAGCTCCTTGGCAACTATGTAACCCCTATAGTTAGCTGGGTGAGGTTGACCGCAATTTGCGCATTTTGGTGGAGTATTTTTGGGCTTATCGCACTTAATTGTTGGATGGTTACCAGCGCATCTAACGCAAATGTGGTTTCTTTGGCAGTATCTTTGTGTGTGTCCATGTCTTTGGCAACGTTTGCATTGCGGAATTTGTTTGTTAGACCTAACGGCTTCGATCCTGACCCTCAAACGATTTAAATACTGAATGCTGTAGATTTTTTTGATGTCTTCAGTATTTTCGAAGGTTAACATGAACAAAGGCAGTTTGACCATTTCTACACTCCCATCCTCGAGCCTCTTCTTCATGAATTTATTGGTGACCTCAATAACCTTGAAACCCTCGCTTAAAAGCTCACTTTTTATGTTTTCAGGGTCACAAGATTGGTGTAAATTTCT